TTTATTATTTTCTTGTTCTACAATTGTTATTGTTATTGTTTAAACACAACAGTTGTGTTTTTAAGATAACGCTGGTTAACAGTATTTTCTCATTTATTTTTTCTTTTTTTTTGCTGAATTGTTGAGTTTATAAAATGTATAAATATTTGTTATCACGCAGTGAAAGCTCTAATGCATTCGAGAGTGTTTACGACGATATAGTAACGAGAATGCGCATACAACAACAGCAATGTACAAATAATAAATAGATAATAGATGCTAATTATTGTTGATGTAAATGTGATAAATGAAAAAATAATTATGTTCACGTTAAGGTGGTTTAAAAGTGCAATAAAACTTTCATGAAAAAGCAGAAAATTTACTTAAAAGTTAGTTGGAATTTTCTTTTCTATTTATAAGCACATATTTTATTTATTATGCAACTTTTGATACCCTGAACAATGTATATTAAGTTTGCTACGAAAACCTTACTATTATAGCCACGAAAATTTATTTGTGAAATTATATTGACAAAATGCAGCACAAATTATTGTCCAAGTTCACGCAACAATCTCTGAACAAATTATTCAGATCGCACCAATCATATCATATAGCTGTCATGCAAACTGTTCGATCAAAATCAAGTTATTTTCTTCTATCTCTTTTACAAGGATTATTGTCCAAGGCAACGCTACGCTAATGTGAAGGGTATTATAGCTTCGGTGCAGCCAAAGTTAACTTTTTTCTTGTTTTATAACTCTTCTACTTCATTCGATTTTCTTCTCAGACTCCTTTTCAATGCATTTTTTAACCCATGTCGCATTTGATTCGCCATTTCTCTGCTCGCTATGTTTGAACTCAGTTTTCTTATAAAAAAAAAATTATTTAATATGTGAGAGTAGCGACAAGGCTGTCCAATTGAAAATCAGTACGTTCTTAAATTATTTTATTTATTGCGAACGTCTTTCTATTTGATTAAGCCAGTGCATGATTTAAACTAATTGTTTGTTCGATTCGGCGCTCTCTAAAGTTTGTCGATTGGAAATAAAATGAAATGAGCTAACAAAAGTCCAAGACTCTCATTCCCTGCAGATTTTACAAAAGCCTTTTCTTCAAATACGATGAGCTCACGTCTTTTATACCATGTTTTCTACACTCATTCTATATGTTTTATTATCACTTTCTTATAAGCTGGTTTCTATTTTTACTTTAATCTACTCATTAAAGTTTCACAATTTTACTTTCTTTAACTCGTACTCTCTCATAACTGAGCTGTTTTCTTGTTTCTCGCTTGCTCAACTTTTTCTATGTTTTTTTTGTACACCTTATCAGCCTTTCTTTTTACACAGTTCCTATCCTCTATCTACAATTTAACTTCCCTCTTCGCATTCATGCTGTTGATGCAGTTATTATACCAGTATTCAACATTTACGATATAATTTTACGGTATACTGCTGGTGGTCTTCAGTAACTACAGGATATCCATTCTAGAAAACAATCTTCACCCGTAATTTGATCATCTTTTTACCACCTTCTCATCATTTATATTTAGAAATCAACTTTCTTCTGGCACTTCGTTATCTTATATGAAATCTAAATTAATTGTTTATAATTCGGAAATATTTTTGGTATTTACTGTTTTACTAAACCTAAAAATTATTGAGTGCCCACATCGCTACTTTTTGCAGCGCTTTTCTCTTCTTCTTCTCTTAGTCCATGCATTTCATTTATTATTTCTACCATATTTTTTCTCTGCTTTCTTTTACTTCTAAGTAATTTTCACTTCTCTAGTTCGTTTACTCTCATTTGTTTGAATTGACAGAATTTTTAGACCCGCCATAGCAACTTTCTCACCATTTTCCTCCGCTCAAAATAATATAATTTGCTCTCCTTACATCGCCATATTTGTTATATTTAAGTTATTTGATTTTACGAATCTCGTGTCGTTTAGCAGCGCTTTTGGAAACTTTGACAGTTGACAGCTGACAACTAACAGCGAGCTTTAAAAGACAAACTGAACAGCACCATAAAATGTATGTATATACTTTAACGGCACACCCTCGTATATACATATTTTTTTATAATATATAAACAAATACGCAATTTCAATTGTTATGATCGATGCAAAAACAATAATGTATGTACTTGTAGGTTACCTACCCTACAAATCGTGCGTATGAGCGTTCATTGAAATTTCAATAAAACAAAAAAAAAATTAAAAGAAAATAACGCAAAATATATACATATATATGTATATAAAATATATATATAAAGTAATAGCTGATATTGTTTGCGCGATCAACAAATGAGTAAATCTACAGGCATACAAGTGTAAATATGTTTGTATCGGTGTGATAATGCTACAATGTAGAGCGTGTACAGCGTGCTTTGGTGCTCAAGCATATATAATCAACTGTGCAAATATTAAATATATACTATATATAGCGTATATGCACATATTTATATAAAACGAGCCTTCAACGCTTAGGGAGTACGGCCGGCCTCCTTCCCCTCCATAACCCTAGAAATGATTCAACTCTGCAGCCAACCACAGATATGCGAACTAAATGCCACAACAATTGCATATCTAGAAATATATATGCGCATAAATGTTTTGCGATTTCGATTTCCGCTATTCTTGTCCTCTTTTTTCCGGTCATATGTAAATAAAGAGATACTTATCTACAGCTACAGAAATTTTTTAAAAGCATAATTTTTAATAATTACTATTTATTCATTTTATGAAATATTCATTTTCATTATTATTATTTTTTAACTAAAATATTTTATTTTTTTAATAGATATGTATTTTAATATTGATAATTATTTCTTAAAATTTTTTTTTTCAATTAAAACATATTTCCCAATTTTGTTTATTCCTTTTTAAATTTGTATAATATTTTTGTTTTTAATTTATTATTTATTTTTTTTTTCACCTTTACATTTTTTAAAATTATTATTAGTTTTTTTTAACTTATATTTTTTTAACTTACTTATTTTTAGTTTTTCATTTTTTATATATCTTTTACAAATTTATTTTTATTTGCTCCATTTTTTTTCAATTTGATACTACTTTTTTATTATTCTTTGCTATTTTTAATATTGATTTTAAGCCTTTAATTTATTTTTTGTTAGTATTTATTATTTTTTTTAATTTTGGCACTACTTTTTATTATTATTTTTTTTAATATTGTTTTTAAGGTCTTAATTTATTTTATTTTTTGTTATTATTTATTATATCTATGATACTATATTTTATAATTTTGTTTATTCTTTACTTATTTTTTAATACTTTTTTTTTAGTTTTTAATTAATTATTTTTTATTTTACTTAATTTTTATTTATTATTACTTTTTTAATTTTTTATTTATTATTACTTTTTTAATTTTTTATTTTGATCATAACTTGTTCTCTTTAAATTTCAATTTAATATTTTATTCCTTTTTAGTTAGTTTGACTTTTTTAAACTTTTTGTAGTATTACAATAATTATTTTAATACTTTTCAATGTTTTGCTATCCAATGCTTTTAATATTTTTGTTAAATTTTTTTTTTTTTGGTTTTTATTTTTTTCGCTATATGTATTAATTAGTTTACCTAAACATTTTTTTAATAGTATGAATATTTTAATATTTTCCAATGTTTTATTACTTTATAAAACTATTTTTTTTAAATGTATAGAATTTAAATGGTTTTTTTTTAAATTTTATATTTAAAAATTTTTTTGTTTCAAATTTATATTTTTTTGTAATTTTTTTACTATTACATAATTTTTTTTGTATTTTGCAATTTTAATTTTTTAGTTTTTGGTTTTTGTTTTTTTATTAGTTTATGTTTCATTTCAATTTTTCTTTAATTTTTTATTTATTAGTTTGATTTTATATTTTAGTTTTTATTCCATTAGTTTTGTTGTATATTTTGTAATACTTTTTATTGTTATTTCTGCTTTATTTTTCTTTTTTAATTAAATTTTCTTTACTTTTGAAATGGATTATTCTTTTGACTTTTTTGTTCTTACAGTTTATTCAGTGTTTTATTACTATATTAAACTTTTTTTTATTTATACCTACTATTTAAATTGTATTTTAAATTGATATTATTTCTTAAATTTTTTTTATTATTATTACATTTTTTTGTTTTTTGAATTTCTTATTTTATTTTGGTTTTTGTATTTTAAAATTTTTTTTTTTTAATTAAGGTTTTATTTGATAATTTTGATGATGTTTTTTTAATATTATTTCTGTTTTATTTTCCCATTTTTAAATAAAATTGGTTATTATTTGTATTATTATTTTTTATTAATTTTATTATTTTTTTTTTTAATTTCTTCTTCTAATTATTTTTACAGTTAATTAAATGTTTTATTACTTTATTAATATTTTTATATACTTTTCCAGTTTTATAATATTTTTTAAATTTTTAAATTCATTGTTGTTTTTTTCACTTTATCCTAAATGTTAATATATTTTATTTTAGAACGTTTTTTATTTTTAGAATTTTTTATGAATAATTTTTTGAATTATATTTTACTAATATTTTTTTTTTTACTTTTAGTTTATTTTTTATAGTTTTTTTATTTCGAATTTTTATATTTTCTAAATATATATATCCTTTAGTAATTTTTTGTGTTTATGACCCGGTTATTAGAACTAGTGTTGCAGTTGTTTCATACATTTTTTTAAAATTTATTTTTTAAATTTCCTAATTAGTTGGTACTATATTTTTTCACATTATTTTTCACTTATTTATTTCATTAGTTTTACACAATATTATCTTTACTTTATTTATATTATATTTGCGTTTATTTATTTGTTTTTATTTTTTTGTATGTTACTCCTGTTACTCCGATTTATCTGCTCCAATTGCAATTTCCTCTAACGACATGCTTATCTCACATATATACCATACCATACAAGCATACATACATATATACACAGCCATGCATAATAAATATGTAAATGCTCACATAAAAAAGACTTAGATAACAGTAAACAAAAAGCAAAAATATAAAATATTGCTTACATTCATAAAAAGGCGCTAAAAAATCTGCTACTGGAAACACCGCAACTGTAAATCAGTCTTTTAACTACACAGTGTCTATTTATTAGTTTTTTAATTTTTTACAACTTTTTATTTACAAGCCACAATAACTTTAAAATTGTTAATGGTAATTTTTTTAGTAAAAAATTTTTGTTTTTGTATTTTTTAATAATTATTTCCAGTTCAAATATTTCACGACACTCAATTAGTTTCATACGACAATGTGTTAAGTATATTTTTTACTAATTTATTATTATTTCTGTTTTTGCTGCGACTTTCTACAAATTACCGTAACTGCTTCACACTATTTTGTACACTCAACTTCCATTACAATTCTGACTTTCGCCAATTTGTTTTCACACTTCATTTAACCACAAATTATTTATTATAGAAAATTTGTTTTTGCTTGAATTTCTACACGCGCCGCGCGCTACTCTCGGTAAGTATATAAAAAAAACGTGTGCGCGCTGCAGGCAGATTCGCCACTTACTGGCTGGGAATGGCAAGCCATAGCTACGACAGAACTCTTGCCAGTCGACATTCGCCAATCGGTGGCTAGGGAGCGAGTAGCTTTTTGCGCGCGTTTCACCTAAAGTAACAACAAAACCCCATTATACATATGTGTAGCAATAAAAAGCAACGTGCTAGAAATGCTCATTCAGAAAATCAGCGTATACTCACTCTCTTTGGTCACACTCAGCCCCATTCTTACCTATACCTATATATACATATTTGCTATATAAGCTCCCTTTTGCCTATTATCACATACAGAAAAGCAGCGATTCTTTTGCTTTTGCGGTACTCACTCGTAAACAAATTGAATTTGTGTGGGTCCCTTAGCAATATTTATGGATACAAAGCAAATTTGGGAAGACTAAAATTTACCTAATACATATCTACGGTTATATATATATATATTCTAAATACATATACCAAAAAAAGGCCTGAATCGATTTCGATGAAACTTATCGGAAACCTTATGGGATATTCAGAGTGTGATCTTATACAATATGTTCGCCATCTGACGAGCAGAATCGAAATTTTGATCATACAACTTGATACACTTGAATACGTAGGTACATATTTTATTTTTCAGATACGAGCCTATAGCACATTTCATTTAGACTTAATTTTTGTTCCAACGAATTTTATACAATTTGTGTATAGATATATAACTATCGGTTATATACGCAAAAATAAAATAGAAATATCCCACCAGGGAGGATCATAGTCCGATTATTACCAAAAATCGTTTTATGGTCCGAGTTGACTTTTTACTATATATTCGTAACCGAGTGGAAATTATAGACATAGATGGCGCCAATTTAAAAGTGATTTTCAAAAATGTCAATGACTCAAAAAAATCGTGACTTATGGGTCACCGAAGTCAATCTCAATGGATACAGCAGCATTATCGACAAGCTATACGGGTCTGTAAATTACCCACCTAGCTCATTTAATTTGTTTCGTTTAAGATAGTTTTTGCTAGGATATGTCAAGCCAATAGTCTATGCTAACAAAACAGTTATAAGCAACCACATATAAATCAAGATTCAGAACATTAGGGGCGAGATAACATCACATATCCTCTTATACTCGAAAGAATGGTTAAAAATACGTCCGAGAGATAGGTTGGTATTTATAAGATGCGCAGTGTCTGTGGATCTGAATTTGTATTTAAACACTGAATGCCATAAAATTCTCGAATTAATGAAGTCAAAATATGGGCTGTCTCATCAATTTTAAGAAGTTTGTAAATAAGCAACTTTAAATATTTTTCGTTTTAAAAAGGTCAAATAAGGTTTCTAGGAAAATACCAAATTTTACTTTGTATACAAATGGAAGATTTGACCGAATGTGAGATATATTTTGGAAAGAAGACGCCACTCATTTGCTCGCTAAACCAGAGCTCTGCTCTGCTTGGATAACAAAATTTCCTGTTCAACACAAGAAAGTATGTGGCTCATTTATTACTATATTAAAATGGCACAATACCTTGCGATTCTATTCCCATTTGATTATGCTGTCTTTATACCAGTTGCTTGTTCGATTCGCCATAAATATATTATATAATATAAAATAAGTATTATTTCTCTTCAATGGCTGAGTAGTACAAATTCTTTTGGCATTATGTGAGCAAATGTATTTTTTTACGACAAAAAATACCTTTTTTTTATATTGAAGCATACCTTTCACAGTGAAATAGCCATCACAACAAAACTGTTAATCGAACATGCAATACTTGATTGATTTTTCACATATTTTCTGTATACTTAGACACCAATTTTAGTTACGAATAAAAAACATTAAATTTTATGACCTGACGAGCCGAGGTGATTTAGCCATGTCCCACTATCGGTCTAGCTGTACCATATATACGCCAAACAGCCACTCAGTTTTTGAGATATCGATCTTAAATTTGGCACACGTTCTTTTCTCCACAAGAAGTTACTTATTTGTCGGAAACGCCGATATCGTACCACTATAGCATATAGTTGCCATACAAACTGAACGATCAAAGTCAAGCCCTCGTATGGAAAACTTCGTTATTCAACAAGATATCTTTACGAAATTTGGCGCAGTTTAATGTCCAAGGCAGCGGTATAATTTCCGAATTGTTCAGATCGATTCACATATAACATATAGCTGCCATACAACATGACCAATTAAAATGAGTATAACAATCTCTTTATACACTTCTTTGTATTAGAAATGCCTGTGTGAGTGGTATAGCTTTAGTGCAACCGAAGTTTACGTTTTTTCTTATTTCTTATTGATTGTATCATTTAATTTTGCAACACACTGTTATTAGCATTTAAATCTCATTGCTTTTTAATTAATTTATCGATTTTTTATTGATATTTATTGCTCATAATTAATTTAACATACGTTCAGATACACATTCATCTTTACAGATTTCTGATTTAATTGTTTTATTTGCACAAGCATTTAATAAATTTCTTTTGTGCACATGTACATACATAAATACATACATATGTATGTATGCACTTGTATATGTTTTTATGTATTGTAAATACAATTTTATTCACATATCCATTCAACAACTTCCGCCGACAATGCATCGCACAAAAATTCCTGCGAAGGTCAAGCGCTTTTGCATTACGCATGCGACGCGTCGCACAGCACAGACACACATACACACGTATGTAAGTATGTAGTTTCATATGTTTAAATGCGAAAGGCAATTGGCCGCGCTCGATATTTTCAATTGTGTTGCCATTCAACGTTAATCGAAGCAAATTAAATTGTCAAACTTGGAGCACTTGCAGTGGAAGCGGTCGTAGGCAGCCGCAGTGAATGCAATCAAAACTGGCGTGTGAAAAGAATTTTTGTTTACTTAGCTATAGAGCGCAAACAGAAATCATAAATGCACGCATTAAGTGCGAAATTGATTGTGCTGAGTTTTCGACATATTTGGCAATGCGGAAGCGCAAGTAGCAATCGCTAATGGCCAGTGCCTCTCAAACTGTGCTGAATGAAAACGCTTATTTAGTACGATGCGAAATTACTGTATACGGAACAAAGTATATTTTAGACTCGCTTTGTGTTTTGAATATTTTTAACAGGAAAAATTTATTTGTTGCGTTAGAATTTAGGAGCCGGTTTACCCAACTAATCTCATAAAGACTGTTGTTTTATGGGCGCGTTTTAGGGTATTGATAGGAACTATAGATTTCGCAAGATTTTTTGCATTTCATGCAAATTTGTGTGACCTTAAAACAATTATCGACTCTTAGCTAACAATAGTCACTACACAAGTGGAAGATCTTTTTATAGAATTCGCCAAGAAGTAAGATAAGATGTTGAGATAAGCTATATTTGGGTGTCACAGTAATCATACCCTAAAATATTTATACTTTTGCAAGATGTTGCTACAGAGTATAATACAAATAGTTTTGTTCATCTAACGATTATTTGTATCACCTAAAACTAATCGAGATAGATGTGGAGTTATGAGTTATTATATAAATGATCAGGATGATGGGACGAGTTGAAATCCGGGTGACTTTCTGTCCGTCCAGTAACTTGAGTAAAAATTGAGAAATCTTTATGAAACTTGATACATATGTTTCTTGGTACTATATCAACCAAGCTTGCTAAGAATAAGTCATTTTATCACCTCTTCAAACTCTGTGAAAATGGGTAAAATCGTATATTAACCACGCCCACTCCCCATCTAACGGTTATGTTGAAAACTACTTAAAATACGATTACTTACTGAATAAATGAGCCATAATTATTAAATTTCACAAGCAGAATGGTAAAGCGCTTTATAGAATCTGGTGTGAAAATTGGATAAGGGTCCGAAGAACGCGCGGAATTCGCGACTAGACATAAGGCAACAATTTTCTTTCATGACAACACTTGGCCACATAAGCAGAACCGGTTAAAAAACTATTTGATAAACAGCGGCTTGGGAGTTTTGCTTCACCCGCCTTATAGCCCAGATCTTGCCTCTTGTGACCTCACTGGAATGCGCTTCATATCAAAGCAGGGTATCAAAAATTGGCTTGATTCATTATTGGCAGCCAAGTCGGCGCAGTTCTTTGGCAAGGAACTTACAAATTGCCAGAAAGATGGGAAAATATATAGTAGCTTTGGATGGGCAATACTTTGAACAATACTATGGTATATGTTTTTCTTAAAAAAATATTAAAAGTTAGAAAAAACGCACAAATTTAGTTTTATACACCATAATTGGATAGCTATTAGCTTTATTTGCCAGACTTGAAGAGTAGTGAATCGAACACACAACTGGTCTAAATTAAAGGGACTGGCATAATCAAATATGGTATAATTAGAAGCACAAGCGTTTTTAGCGCTTTATTTGGCACATGCATTGAATGCAACCAGATAATTTTTTGTTGTTTTCTCAAGTTAATTATTTGCCAACGAAGCAGAGCTCAATGATTGCAAGCAGAGAAGTGACGTATCGCAGAGTGCATACTGAAAGATTTCAAAGCTTAACGACAAGCCTTTCATATTACAGCATTAAAAGAGAAAAAAGTGTTCGGAGCCACGTCAGCAAAGTAAGTACACATTTTGAGAAAAATACGTATGTAAATTATATTTCTCCAGTAGCCAAACATTAAAAAAAAGATTTAAATTTTTTGTAAACAAGGCAAAACAACGCACACAAAAGATATGCGGTATTTACACAAATTAAAACCGAGGAACTGATTAGGAAGCGCCACAATGAAAATAATATTTGCCAAAGCATAATCATCAACGACGCCGCCACCAAAAACAACAAGAACAACGGAACCACAAGCAATGTCGATAAGTGCTAAAACAGCAATCATGGGCTGGGCTGCACTGGACTGGCTGGCTGTCTGAATGGCGCCATTTCAAGTGGTGGTGAGTACAAACGCTGGAATGTCGCTTCCAGAATCACCTGCGTTGCAAACTCGCTAAACAACAATTAGCATAGTTTACATGAACGAGCGGCGATATTGTTGGCGAGCAAATAGAACACACATACGTATGTATATATTTAGGTATTTACAGTTCTACGCCTTCGTATGAAGACTGATCAATCGGGCGCGTGTGAGTCGTATATCCCGTTGGTTGTGAGTCAACCGGCGCAATTGTGATTTTATCATGGAGAACAATGAAGTAAATGTAAGATAAATAAATATAAAGCATTTGACTGCCGGTTAGCAACAAATGCAATATAGTGTTATTAATTAATTGCTAATTATTGTTGTTTTATCGATTTTGATGATTAATGCTTTCATTAGGAAGTGGTGACAGTGGAAATAACCTGGAGAATTTTGCACTTTGTTGCAGTGATTTTTGGTGAATTTATGGCATTTATTTGCATAGAGCCACAAACATGCCTACGAACATAACGGTGAATCATCTTTTATAATATTATCCTAAAAGCGTAATGCGGTGGCAGTGCTCCACGTGTATGTGTTACAAACGGAATTTTAATTATAGTACATACCGAACATAAACACATTAACACATAGCCTTTGAGTCCATATTAGATTAGATCACTCACGGTTGGCGTAAATATTTTCAATAAAGCGATACGCTTTTATACCTACATACATACATACATTTATACCAATAATGACTCCAACTCGCAACAGTTGTGTTGTTGTAGTGCCGAAACTTACCGATTTTCTGCGAAGTAATCAAACTATTTTTCTTTCACATTCCTGATCAATGACTGCATACTTTGTAAAATTTTTGTTTATGACTTTTAGTTATTTTGGTTTATTAGGAAATTCCAAAAATGTTACGCTTTATGCGCAAAAGTAATCATAATTTATAACAGTACTTAAATTATTCATCGAGTAATTATTTTTAGTTTCTGTAAGGCAGAATATCTGTTATGACAGAAGGATACTTGCATTTATTTGGCAACGCTACTGACTTCAAAAATACGGAAATTCTATCGATAATTGCTTTCGGCAGGTTACAAAATTCCCGATAATTGCATATTAACAAATCAAAAAATTATCGATAGTTGCATTTTAACAAGTCACAAAATTAAAATGAAATTGAAATTTGGCAGATCGCAAAGTTATCGATAATTGTCCTTTGGCGGTATGAAAATTATCGATAATTGTACTTTAGCAGGTCACAAAATTATCGATAGTTGCATTTTAACCGCTCCAAAAATTATCGATATTAGCCTTTTAGCAGGTCACAAAATTACCGATAATTGTATTTTGACAGTTTAGTAGCTCTTAGTCACATTATGAATCGACTTATCTATAATGCGTATTCGATTCACGGTATGTTAGAGTTCTGTTCCCCTACTAAGAAAGTTACAGGTGCTGTCTGTTAACGAGAGAAGCTGCCAACAATGAATGAAATCTACAAAACTCCACTTTTCCTAACATAAACTACTAAACGAAGATAAGCAAACTTCAAGTTTTTGACTTTTTGTCATTCTTTCACATTCTTTTTTACAATATATGTATCATAGTATAGACTCCTAAATTCGCAATATATGATATTTGAC